AGATGACCCCTCAGTTCTCCCTGAGATAAGGTCAACGTGGAACATCTGTGGGGACACACGTTCATGTGACTAGCCTGTTCCTGGCTGGGCCTGCCCCTCACTGGGCCTGGGGGGTCCCTTCTGGCTCTTCTCTCAGGGCTGACCCCTGGTTTGACCCCAGTGGGTGGACAGGAGGGTGGCTATCGGTGATGCTAGACTATCAGCCTGGTCACCTCACAAGCCTTTAGGTCTCTGTTGTACATCAAGGAGACTGAGCTCAGAGAGGAATGAGACTCGCCCAACATCACACAGGCCCTTGTGCCCACCAAGGTGGCCGTCCCCAGACTCATGGGGCCAGGGCCGAAGAGAACCCGAGGCCCGCAGAGGCAGACTCTGTGCTATCCATCAGCACTTGCACCCTCTAAACCAGCCCCCAGCACTAAGCCATTCACAGCCAAAGAAATATGCCCGCAGTGGGCAATACATGCACCACACGCCAGGAAGCAGCACGGCCACCCATGTCTGTGGGTGCAGGCGCCAGGCTGTGCCAGCCCTTTGCTCCAAGCCTGAGCCGTGTGTCTGCAGACCGCTCATCTACACGCATGCTTATGTGTGCCTGTGCACGACCTGCAGCCGCTCTCAGGCACGCTCACTCAGCACAGACTCCGTGCGTAGACCAGCGAGGAGGTGGACGCACTCTGGGCCTGCCGCATGCTGCTGCTGGGACTGAAAGTCCAGGAAGTCAAACTGCAGCTGAGGTGTCCTTCGTGATTCACTGCCCTCCTCGTCTCTGGGCCCGGAGGAGGGGTTGGGACGGGGCGCTGAGCACCAGCGTCGGCCCACCCCGCTGGACCGTGCCTGCCTTCGGAGCAGCAGGGCGTCAGTCTTTCAGGGGCAACACGCGGCTGCTGCGTGACTGGCCACGCGCCAGGCCTTGTTCCCAGCATCACACAGGTTCTCTCAGGGAATCCGCAGCCCAAGAGGCAGCTGAGGCTCAGGGGGGTTAAAAGACTTGCCCAAGTTCACAAAGACACACAGACAGTAAGTGGGGAGCCCAGATGTATAACCAGGGCGTCTGCCCCTAGAATCTGAACCCTTAACAGCTACTGTAGGACAGCCCTGCTGCTCCGGAAGACGCTCCCTGACACTGGGGGCGGGGGGGGGGGGGGGGTTGTGGTCAGCAGAAGGGCTGTGAGCAGCAGGCCTTTAGCTGTTTTCCCCCCCGCCCCCCCCCCCCCGAGAAATCAGGGCCCTCTTGGATTTGAAAAAAAAAAGGGGGAGGGCAAGGGAACCCCAAGGGGGGCTGGGCTTAAGGGAATTAACCCAGAGCACCCCGGACTTTGGCCCGGGAGGCCACCCCGCCCGATTACAAAAGTCCGCTCTTGGGCCCCGGGGGGGGGGGGGGGGG